TAATTTTGGAAGAAACTACCCCCTCCTCCCATAAGCGGCATTAATTTTGGAAAAATTTCAATTTTCACAATCTTACTTTTTTTTTTACAATACAAGACCTATACCTTTGTTCCAAATTTCATGTTTCTACCTATACGGGAAGTTTCTGATCATTTTGATTGTGAGACTACACTCTCCCTCACTAATACAATCGTGACAATCATGCATAACCGCTTCTGTACCTCCCGAAAAAAACAAGACGACGTCCACGATGCTGAAGCGACCAAAAAAAGTATGATATCCCGACAAAAATCTAGCCGTGAAAGAAGGGCCAAGTTCCAGACCCCCTCCAAAAAATTAGCCTATCAATGCAATGATATCTACACTGAGACCAAATCCGTTCATTTTTAGTCCATAACCTACAAGAACTAAAAAAAGATAAAGTTCCAGACTCCCTCCCAAAAAAGCAAAAAAGTCAGCGAATTAAAGTAGTGGTATCTACATTGTAGCCAACCTCACTTCACTACTACTTTTATGAGCAATATCTTTTAGTTTTATTGGTTAACACTTTGCCAATTTCTGAATGAGCAGTGAGTAATAAATAACTCTTTTCTATTTTTTTGAGTCCTCTACATTCCCTTTATATCTTTTGTTGAGCAAACATGGTCCTGATATTTCAGAAACTGGCCAATTGTTAACCAATGAAAATAAATGAACTGTGTTGGTCATAAAAAAGGAGTGAAATGAAAACAAATTGTTTCGCAGTTCGCAGCTTTCTGCTTCTAGTGGATGCGAGGACCAAATTCGTAGTGGTGGTAGAGTGGTAGTTGTAGTAATCAGCGAGAATATACGGATCAATGGGCTGAAAACCATGGTTCTACTCACAGACAGTTTTTCCACTGTAATCCGGATTTCTTCCTATTTGTGGATTTTAGTTTGACGATGAGCATTTAGCGGTTGAAATCAGGATTAGTACGAAAATCTCTTTGCAAAATAAAAAACAGATTATAACTATTTCTATACGGATCAATTTTTAAAGTTGTAAGAAGAAAGGGAAGACCTTTAAATATGTAGTTATCGTCTATTAAAACATTTTATCTAATAAATAGCGTTCTTGACATTTGAAGATATTGGATTTTAGTTTTGAAACGAAAGATGATAAAGAATCTAAAAAGACAAAATTTATAATCGCCCCAAGTAATCTATGTTCTTCAATATGGTTCAGTCACGTCTCGCTGTTTGCCGCTTACGGACAAATTTCACATCGTTCACGTCCGAGATAACAGGACGAATTCAATCAAAGATAAATTAGAGCTGGCACGAGGATAAAAAGATAAAAATAATATATTAGTAAAAAAAACTAAAAATGATTAGAAATATTAGGGGTCCTAAAAAATTGTACCATCTAAAACATAATATCATTCTTAAATTTAAAACGTCCGAGAAGACAGGACGAATTCAATCAAAGATAAATTAGAGCTGGCGCGAGGAAAAAAAGGTAAAAAAATAATATATTAGTAAAAAAACTAAAAATGATTAGAAATATTTAATTAGGGGTCCTAAAAAATTGTACCTTCTAAAACATAATATCATTCTTAAATTTAAAACGTCCTAGAAGACAGGACGAATTCAATCAAAGATAAATTAGAGCTGGCACGAGAATAAAAAGATAAAAAATAATATATTAGTAAAAAAACTAAAAATGATTAGAAATATCTAATTAGGGGTCCTAAAAAATTGTACCTTCTAAAACATAATATCATTCTTAAAATTAAAACGTCCGAGAAGACAGGACGAATTCAATCAAAGATAAATTAGAGCTGGCACGAGGATAAAAAGATAAAAATAATATATTAGTAAAAAAAAACTAAAAATGATTAGAAATATTTAATTAGGTGTCCTAAAAAATTGTACCTTGTAAAACATAATCTGATTGTTAAATTTAAAACATCCGAGATAACAGGACGAATTCAATCAAAGATAAATTAGAGCTGGCGCGAGGGAAAAAAGGTAAAAATAATATATTAGTAAAAAAAAACTAAAAATGATTAGAAATATTTAATTAGGTGTCCTAAAAAATTGTACCTTCTAAAACTTATGTTCTCATTGTTAAATTTAAAGCGTCGGAGATAACAGGACGAATTCAATCAAAGATAAATTAGAGCTGGCGCGAGGAAAAAATGTAAAAAATACTATATTACTAAAAAAAACTAAAAGTGATTAGAAATATCTAATGAGGGATCCTAAAAAATTTTATCTTCTAAAACATAATCTCATTGTTAAATTTAACCCTTTATTAACAATTAAGGATATTGGATTTTTGTTTTTGGTGAGTGATGATAAATAACCAGAAGAGTTTGTGTTGCTTTGAGCTTGGTTCAGTCACGTCTCGCTACGTCGCTTTTGAGGTGATTTTAACTTAACATCCACCATTCTTGTATACGATAACAAAACGAAATAATTTTGTGCATTGAAAAAATTGTAGCAGGTACACCAATATTTAAAAATCTTCAAAATCTTAACTCGTTTTTGTCATAATTATCAAATTTTGATTAAATTGAAAATAAATAAAAATAATATATTTATTTTTAATTTATTTACATTTTATAATATTTACAGTGTTTATTTTAAACGAAAATCAAAGTCAGAGTCTGCCTAGCGCTCACACAAAGTGGCCGAATTGATGTTAAGGTTATAAGCAGGGAGAGGCAAGACAATCATTTTGTAAATGTTTATTTTTTAAAAGCCTTTTACCAATATTCATCACTCGTAATGGCTCTTTTCGGGCCTCAAAAATTGGCCCGCTTTTCTTGGATTATAATAAGCTCAACGATTTTTATTATCGTAAGATCCCGGGCCTCTACAGCCAAAAAATTACGTAGGATTATATCACAGGATCTTTATCTTGTTTTCTTTGTTGCAGCACTATTTCCAATTCCCAACTTCCCAATGAATTTGATGGATTTAAAAAGGAAAAATACATATAAGGTAGTTTAAGGATTTGATTGACAGGGTCATGAATATGTAATTTGACCTTCTGTCCAACCTCGACAGGATGGTCTGTCAGACTTTGCCATCTACAGTGTGTCTTTGTAATTCTTTAATTCAAATCTCTTTTATGAGTTCGTTTGTTAGTGGTTGAATTTTCTTTTTTAGTTTTGAAATAGTTTTCAGTGAGTGACGGCGAGAGTTAGAACGAGTGAACTTTACTATCGCTCACGATGATCTCTATTCTTTGATTTCAGGATCAGACTCGTCCTGCTATGTTCCCTTCCGGATGGATTTCATCTTCAGAATTAAACTTTTAAAAATGATAATAACTTTTAATTATTTTTATCAGCTTATTCTTAATTATATAATTACTCAATTAATTATACACAATTTTTTCGAAATGAAAAATTTGGGTCAGGCGGGATTCGAACCCACGACTTTCGGCTAAATACGCCCCTGCGTGACTTCGATCGTCCATGCTACAAATTTCTCATTTCGACTCCCCGTTTATTCCAATTTTAAGTCACGGTAGCTCAAGTGATAGAGCAGCGGCGTATTTAGCCGAAAGTCGTGGGTTCGAATCCCGCCTGTGACACAAATTTTTCATTTCGAAAAAATTGTTTATAATTAATTGAGTAATTTAAAAATGACTTCATGATTAGGGTTCAAAATGTTTTTAAAAATAAGGAAAGTTTGATATATAAAGTGATTTCATGGTAATTAATATTTGGGAAACATATCTAAACTATATTTTTACCATCTCCTGTGATTTTCAGCCAAAACCCGTTTGTTTTTAATATGCAATAGATCTTGAAAACAATAATTTTATAGGTTTTTTATTTCGACATTACACCTTAAATATTGGCCGGTACTTATTCTCCCACTAAGTAGAGTATGTGGAAACTTAGAAGCGTTTTATAAAATCCTTGTGAAACCGAAGTGGGCTGCGGTTTGCAGATCTTAGGTATTTAATTGGAAATTGGTAAAAGGGCATGAACCGTTGCTTCGATGGGCCCAAAGGTCGAACCCGTCACGATTCTCACAAGTCGCCAACACCTTGATATTTCGTACGTTTGGGGCCAGAATTTTCCCTCCTTGTCTCAAATTTCGTACAGTAAACAATTTTAGAATTGTTCGGGGGAAAAAAGGATCTCGGCTGGTGCTTTAATTAATCTAACTTTGATGAATGATGAAGGCTCTTCCCGTTAATGGTCTGTTTTCATCTTTAACGGGCTATTTCTTCTTCACTTTTGACAACTTAAAAGCAACTTCATGTCTTAATATCGAAGGTGCAAATTGTTACACATAACAAAATTCAAAGATAAAAAAACAGTAATTCGTATAATCTCGGTGTTTATTTAGGAATCTTGGCAATAGTTTTCTTAATCGTTTAATTTGTTTATTTTTCAATATAAACAAAAGATACCATTGACTTTCTAATAAGGTACATTATCTCCCTTGGGTCCAATCTCAAATTTAATCACATTCCCAAAAATCGTTCGAAAATTCATTTATGGACGTGCTTCCATTCTTTCAACACAGCGGTCTTTAAATCGGCGAAGTTCGTAGGTGGAAAATTACAGACTCAACTCCATAGGCTATCTCACATTTGCACATTGCAAGCATCCTTGCAATTGTCCTGAATTAATAAAGAAAAGTTGAATGGCGACATCCTTGAAAATCACCATTCATCACAACACAAGCTGAGACCAAATACACACAATACATGGCAAAAAATTCCACCAAATTGATTTTTTTCATTTTCTCTATTAAAAACATTTTTCCCTTAATTTGTCCAATTGTTTTTACCAATAATATTTGTTTATACTGTGTTTCAAATTGGGAATATAAATTAGAGGTAAACACACTTTATCTTTAATCCAAAACCAAGATAAAGGATTTTTTCAATGTTTACTTTTTAAGGAATTTAAAATGTTTATTCAGTCTAATTTGAATTCTCAAGCAATAACTTGTTAGTTTTAATCTTTGTTTTCTTAATTTCAATTTTTAAATTTAAAAATGCCACTTAGTGCTAAGGATGTTGCGCATGGTATGGAACTTATTGACGAAGGACATTCCATCAGGTATGCGGCTATTGCCATCAATGTCTCCTACGAAACTCTGCGAAAGGCTGTTAGACGTTTTCGAAAAACTGGGTCCTACCATAGAAGGTCCGGTTCAGGAGCCCTAAGGTAACAGAACCGCAGGATGACCTTTTTTTGACTGAGAATTTTGCAAAAACGGCAACTTGTTGTTCAATCGATTCATCAGCTCCAGGAAGTTCGACGTGTCCAAATTTCTGAACGCTTTGCTCGAAGAAGTGTGGACTGATGGTTTTTCGCCCCGTAAGAGGACCAGAATTGACCAGAATACACCGAGTTGTACGGCTCGCATTTGCTCGAGAACAGCCATTAATCTTTGGACGATTGGTCGGCTTTACTTTTTACAGATGAGTATATTTGCTCTACGATCTCCAGATGGGCGAAAGAGTGTGGAGAAGGCGAAATGAAAGGTACGAATCCTATAATTTTTCTCAGAGCTAACCTTTCCAATATAGCTCAGTGATGGTGTGGGCGAGAATTTCAATGGAGAGACGCATAGAGTTGGTTGTTGTTCGTGGAGGGTCTTTGACGTCCACTCGCTATGTGGATGAAATTTTGGAACAACTTGCGTTGCCTATCCTCGATGAAATCAACGACAATCCTATTATAGTCGCACAAACGTACCTTCGACAGGATAACATCAGGGTCTTAACCTGTCCAGCTTGTTCTCCAGACTTGAATCCCATCGAACATTTATGGGTTAACCTCAAAAGACGAATAAGAGTCCGTCGCTTCCTGATGCACTCCACTATCTTGAAAGGACTCTTCGTGAAGAATGGGCTAACCTCCAGCAAAGAGATATTTCCAGACTGGTTAGAAAGTATTCCGAAGCGTCTTCGAGGTGTAATTAAGGCTAGAGGACGAAATACGCGATACTGAAATGTCAATTAAAAATCTAATTAAAACAAATTTTATCTGTCCGTCTTTTTGTTCATTTTCCTTAGCAATTTATTTATTTGTTATTTATTTTTTATTTTTTTACTTTTTTAGACAAAGACTCACTTATTAAACGTTAAAAAATGTGAAACTTTGATTAATATATAAAAATTAATACAAATCAAGTTATATATACATAACAATATAAAAGCAAAAATAAGAAAACAAGGAAAAAATTATTTAAATATTAAACAACATGTAAAGAAATAAAATACCTTAAAAGGAAGTAAAAAGACAGGGAGAAATGACATGATTTATTGCAAATAGAGATCAAACAGGAAGAAAAAAGAGAGGAAAAGATAAACAGAAAAAGATTATAGATAGAAAGAAAAAGAGAACAAAAGTAGCCGAATAAGAAGAAAGAAATAGAGAGATTCAATGAGGCTAACGAGAGATTTTGAGAGACGGTGATAGAAAAGAAATCGAGATATTGAAATGTTAATTAAAAATCTAATTTAAAAAATATCTGTCCGTCTTTTTGTTCATTTTCCTTAGCAATTTTTTTTCTTTTACTTTTTTAGACAAAGACTCAATTATTAAACGTTAAAAAATGTGAAACTTTGATTAATATATAAAAATTAATAAGAAAAAAAGAAAAAAAAGAGGAAAAAATAAACAGAAAAAGATTATAGATAGCAAGAAAAAGAGAACAAGAAGTAGCCGAATAAGAAGAAAGAAATAGAGAGATTCAATGAGGCTAACGAGAGATTTTGAGAGACGGTGATAGAAAAGAAATCGAGATATTGAAATGTTAATTAAAAATCTAAAACAAATTTTATCTGTCCGTCTTTTTTTTTACACAATGTCTCAATTATTAAACGTTAAAAAAACGTGAAACTTTTATTGATATACATTAAAGTTAGCTAGTTAACTTGATTTGAACGAAACCGTTTTGAACATAAACACAATTTCGACTTCAACAATCCAAAAATATTACACATAGAACAACACAAACATGAACTTAACTTTTTAGAACTGGTTTACATCAACAGAGATAAACACAGCATCAATTACAGAACAGACACGTGTAAACTCAGTCGCAGCTACGCCAATATCATTAATCAAATTCAATATTGATAACATACATATATCCTCATCACATCACACAAAACATATAATATAACATATAAAACAATCATCACATTCCACACATCAAACATATCGACATAGTCTAATTCTTCAACAATTTGGCTTTCCTTTCCCTAATTATCCCCGTCTATATAATCCTGAAAGGATAATCAGGCCGAACCATTACCCACATTTTTCCCATTGTCGGGTCCTTTCACCTCAAAGAAGCCGACTCCTCATATAAAAATGTCTTTCTATCCCTACTTCCTTCCTCATCCCTTCAAAATCCAACGTATATAAACATAAAACATCAACATCTCACTGGCACTCTCAGCATAGCACACAATAATGATACATCTACACAGAAAACAAACACCTTCAGTGAGTAGAATATACTTTGATTGAATATAAAAAATTTGTTTTTCTTGCATTGTATAAACTCCCTTTTTTCCATATTCTACATGAATTTGTATCATTTAAACAATGTTTAAAATCACAGGCCCTGAAGATGATCTCAATAAAGATCGAAACGTTCGCACAATAAAGAAAATGTTTTTCTAAAACCTACGTCACACCAGACCGCATCTCACGATCTCCGAATAATCATTGACTAACGGTCACTAACCACACATTATATTTTTTATATAATTTAATAATATTAAGTATTTACTAGTGTAATATTTATTTGTGTTATAATTTCCGCGTTTCGCACGTTCAAATTGAGCGCCATTAAAAAATCAGCTGCTAATTGGAACGTCGCGTTGGCGGAGGTATCAGCGGGTTCACATTGGCAATTCATGTCGAGAGACGGGGTTGTAGAAGTCCTTCAACCTGATGATGAGCTAAAAGGCTCGAAATCCGGATCGTTGCAAAACAACTTTCTGTGAGTAGGAACTATCTTTTTAAAAAAGGATTGATCACCATTTATCATTTCTACACATTATATATTAATATACTCAGTTCCTTCTGACGAAACTCGGGGAATCGATTTTACTCTTCGTTTGGAGCAAAAAATATGCCCAGGAGAAAATTTTCGGAAAGTTCTCTATTTTGAAGATATTCGTCAATTTAGGTTTTTTCAACTTTTCGCTACCTTGCCACATAAAAACGCTTACAACATCCAAAATGTTGAGACTACAACAAATCCAATTACACCATTTGAAAGAACGCTAAATTTTCTGTAAGATACTTTTTTGTAATAATCTGAATGACATAAAATGTTAGCCAATATCAGTTGGAACATGTCAAAATTACAAAATTTAGAATTTTGGTCATGATTGCACGTTCTACTGGGGTTATAAAAAATACCTACAACTTGTCAAATTTCACAAAACTTCATCTAATATGCTTTACATTGATAAATCCAGGTTTTTAAATAATGTTTTAGTAGAGTTGAAAAATAACAATTGAATGTTCGAAAACGTGAGCTAAGGTCAATTTGAAGGGGGGTAGAAATAAATCAATTAGAACTCGCTTTGTAAAATAAAAATGACACATCTGTAATCTCACAAAAACCATACCAGAAAGCTTCATACAATAAAATGCAATGGTTCTTCTCGTAGCAAGCACCTAACAACAAAGGAGGAACTTTTCAGAGGAAATGCTCAAAGTGTTTTCCCTCTTCTCGAATGCATAACTAACTTTCTGAATTTCTAACCCCCCCCCCTTAAAATTTACCTTTGCTCACGTTTTCGAACATTCAATTGTTATATTTCAACTCTACTGGAACGTTATTTAAAACTTTCCGAAAATTTTCTCCTGGGCATTTTTTGCTCCAAACGAAGAGTAGAATTTAGAAGATTCCCTGAGTTTCGTCAGAAGGAACTGGGACCCAGTATAGATATAAAGTAGAGGTTCTGAGAGACGGTGATAGAAAAGGAATCGGCTAAACGATGTGATTTAAATAAAAATGTAATTTTAAAGAAAGAATGAAATAAAAGAAGCAAAATCAATTTCATTAACGTATTCGGTGTTATGTCCTTTTTATTAAATGGCGTTACAACATAAATATTTACATCAAACAGGTCAACGACATTGGGTTTAGGCATTATCAATCGTCAGTCATCCGGTCCAGGTGATGTTCCCTGATATCCGAATTCAAAAAACAAGGTGAAAATGAAACTATTCGAATAACTGCCTTGGTGGCAAATTTATTCAAAGGAGACCCGCGTGAGAGTGCTAATTAGGATCAATTAAATAATATGTAATATATTAAATAATAGATAATTAAGGCGACGTTCGAACTGGCGACGGGGAAATGGGACACAACGAGCCTGCAGAAATGTGCACAGACCAAAAACAACAAAAACCAACTAGGAAGAGATCGCAGAACACCGGCCTTCCTCCTGAGTTTTGTTTGTTTTCTATGTTTTTTTGACTCAAACTGGTGGCCTAAATAAAAACCGTTCACGGACACTTGCTTTACAAATTTGGATCACGATCCGGCCGTTGTTTCGTCAATTAGAAACCCACCGGCCGATTATTAATCGCCGATTAATCGTGTGAAGTCAAGCGTGACAGTCTTCGTTCTTAAGATATTTCGATCGTCACGGAGGCGAATGACTTTTCGAATATAATCAGTGGAGTGAATAACGTCGATATGAGTTGTTTGATATTGAATTGTCATGACTTTTTATCTACACGAGAATATTTAAAATATGCGAAGAGCAGGATCGAGGGTGGTGCAAAATCTCCGACATTCACTCGGCATAAAGCGCCAGTTGCTGAATCGACATGCTATAACATGAATTTGAATGGGTTTTCGTTTCGAAACCGGGACAAAAGCAGTTTTACCATCATCCATAATTCGAGAGACGTGGGCTCCGAGGAAAATTAGGACAATGGGCGACACCTATGAGGGAAAGGTGTTCGGACACAAGTCGAAAATGCCCAACCTTGGATATGTTGCAAAGGAGGCTGAGGGTGGTAGGCCTTCTCGGCTTTTGAAGAATATCCACACGATTCGAACAGTTCGTGACTTATACTTGGACTTTTACTAATGCAATTTCAAACTTAAAAAATTCAACGGCCCCCTGGGCGGTCTCAAGATCTTTAAATGGCATGCAGTAACATTTATGTTCTTTATGTCCTTTCCACCTGTCTGAAGAGTTCAATTAAAACCGAACTGTAGAGATAGCGCTAATTATCTAACATATTTATGAACAATGGAATATAATAACGACAGAACAGTAAGATTGATTTGTCTAGGCCTAATCCTGTATATACATAATCATACAAAATTTAGGCTCCAAGCATTGCTAGGTCACGTCAGCCTCCAACGCATGCAGTTTTTAGCTCAGACTCATTCATTCTTAAATATATTCTTTCTTATTTACATACCATTTAATTATAGGGTGGTGGAGTGCGATTATTCCTGCATCATTGCGTTTCTCACACATTCACTATAAAAAATGCATTCACTTACAATATACACGAACGGAAACACAAAACGAGATATCTACCAATTATTAATTGGCCATCTACAAAATATTGAACCATGTACTCAAATGCTGTAGGTTCAAGGAAAATTCTCATATCGGGTGGCAACCTACTCGCTCTCTACACAGAGCCAAGGAATTGCGGTTTTCAATTAAGTAACTTTTTCGCTGGATTTGGCCAAAAGTAAGTGTTCGCCTGTCAACCGTATATGCCGCCTATCGATCGTGCTCTTATCATATATGCATGCAATACGGTCTAAAATATTATTTATTTATCAATTAATTAATATTTATGAAAGATATTGGTTGAGGTAAAAAGTCACGGTAGCTCAAGTGGTAGAGTAGCGGCGTATCTAGCCGAAGGTCGTGAGTTCGAATCCCACTCGTGATACTGACATTTTTATCTCAACCAATACCTTTCATAAATTCACTAATTTCGTGGTCCGCTTGACCAATTAATACATTACAATTAATTAAGGTTTTTTGTTGAGATGAAAAAAAGTTAATGGCACGAGCGGGAAACATTGAAAAATGGCAAAAAGGAGGGAAAACTCATAAGGTGGGGTTGAGATAGGAAGTTGATGTCCGAGTGGATCAAAGTCACGATAGCTCAAGTGGTAGAGCAGCGGCGTATCTAGCCGAAGATCGTGGGTTCGAATCCCGCTCGTGCTATTAACTTTTTTTCATCTCAACTAAAAACCTTAATTAATTGTAACCTTTCATAAATATTAATTAATTGAAAAATGTTAATTGGTCAATCGGACCACGAACTGTAATGGATTTAATAATTAAACTGAAGTATATCTTCACGAAAGCTCTCCGTGGCCATTTCATTTGTCGCCGAGAATCAAATAGATTACACGACATTTGAAAAATGGCAAAAAGGAGGGAAAATTCGAGAGGTGAGGTTGAGATGGGAAGTTAGTGTCCGAGAGGATCGAAATCAAGATAGCTCAAGTGGTAGAGAGGGTCGTCCTGCTCTGCAGACCTCTGTGTACCCTGTTGGAAGTGTTATTAGCATTTTTCTACGGTATCCGTGCTATCGGGCACTTTTTGTTTTGTTTATTTTAATTTGCCACTAAGGACAATCGACCGGAAACAGGGCCGTGAGAGTGCGGGCTTCTATTTATCGAAGACACGTGAAATTGCGTCTCTTGGGAGGGAGGAGAAAATACGAATCGAAGATATCCACCAGTACGAAGAGGACATCTCGAGCTACTGCAGTTTGAGCGGCGAGGGATCCGAATCGCCGGTGAGCGCGAGAGTCCACCACAACGGAAGTTCCGCGGCCGGGGCGGGGATGGAGCAGGAGAAGAGGATCCGGAGGGAAATCGCCAACTCCAACGAGAGGCGGAGGATGCAGAGCATCAACGCCGGCTTCCAATCCCTGAGGACGCTCCTGCCGCATCACGAAGGAGAGAAGTTAAGTAAGGCTGCAATCTTAAACTGCGGAGTACATATACCAACTAGAACAAGAAAAGACAAGACTTCTGTCGCAGTACTGCCACCTCAAGAAACTACTTAACTAATACGAAGGCGAAGCATCTGCAAATAAAAAGAGAAAAACTGATTCAGATCTTGAAATCGATACCAATGTCGTCTCTGGGGCATCAGAAGATTTGATCGATGTCAGGGTGCTTCTGGACGGAGAGAGGCGACTGCGGATGATCCTCGAAGAAGTGGTAGAGCAGCGGCGTATCTAGCCGAAGGTCGTGGGTTCGAATCCCGCTGGTGACAATGACTTTTTTTTATCTCAACCAATACCTTTCATAAATATTAATTGAAAAATGTTAATTGGTCAATCGGACCACCAACTGTAATGGATTTAATTATTTATTTAGATGATATTGATAATAATGTGAGTTTTTTTCAGTGTCTCAGTTTCAGTCAGTGTTTCCCACATAAGCTTTCACTCTTATAAATACAATCACCAAACTTGTCATACAAAATAATATTACCTTTAATAAAAAAAATTATATATAAAGAAATACCTCAGTGGTCTAACTGAGGGCTGATGAGGTACATGATATTCCAAAATCGAGGCTCTTCTACTACACATTCACGCTTATAGATACAATCACAAACATTTTTATACTAACGAACAAGATTACCTTCGATATAATATATACATACATAGGGTGACTGGCCATAAAAATTTCAGATGTTTCTACTCACCATATGGAACAAAACACTTCCTATAAACTCCTGTCCAAATCTCAACGGTAAAGAAGTAATTTAAGGTTTTTGGGTTTTTTTTCGACTTAGGTCCATTAAATTGGTTATAAATTTCAGACTTACTGACTGTAGAAAAATCTGGTTTGTGCCACCTGAATGAAAGTTAATTTTGCTGTAAGGAAATCTATTTAAATTGCAGAATTGATGAAAAAAATTCTACACGAAAAATTCAGAAAAAATATAAATGTTGGAATTTGGAATTTTTTTAAAATGTTGGATTGGTAAATGTACAAACACCTGGAGGTTTGCAAATTCCCCCAAAAGTTCTCCATTCAATTAGCTTCCAGCTTGGTATATCCATCTTTTTGGATTGCACTTCTGTAAGGCCCAAAAATTTTGCATTCTGTTGAAAAAACTGGTGTCGATGAAGGTGCGGCATGCTCAATTTTTCCAGGAAATCCGCCTGGCTCTTGAGTTTCGTGTCAGTTCTTTATTGTTCAGTTCAATCAGTTTGTTTTATGTTATCAGCCGACAGCTTCCTCAGGTGATTTAAATCATGTCCTTGTTTCCTAATGCACATCTTGCTGATATACATTTCATTTACAGTTACTGCAACCGAATTTTGAGAATACCAAGCTCGTTTTCCACATTGAGACGTTCTAGCAGATTCCAACGGGTTCATCAGAGGCTCATGGAAACTGGTCTTCCCTACTCGAAGAACGAGGGAAGACAATTAATGAATTGATGTAGATGAGAAAATTTTGCATTCTGTCAATCGTGATTCCGAAACCAGTACACCTGCGTTATATATGGGCCTTGGTGTTTCACAATGAAGGAGTTGAGGTACCTTCCGTCGGGCACCCGTACCATTTTACGATGGTGCAAAGTTTGGAACCAAATGACTAACAGAGTGAGTTGGTTTTTTCCTCATCTACGTACGGAAGGTATTTCAAGACCTTGGTATGCTCCCCTTGCAGCAGTAGCATTACCGTTGCAGTAACCGTAAATGAAATGCATATACACTCAACCAGCTCTTTATAATATATATTAAATATTAAGTTTAGCTGCAATAAAAAAAATTGATATGCAGAAATACTTCAATCTTCTACAAAAATTGGAATAGGGGATCTAGAGATTCGCTGCTGTATATAAGTACAATTCTCGTATAGGTAGCATCCCTACTCGCTCTCTAGGGACACCTCAGCCAAGGAATGACCCCCTTCATTTAAGTGGGACACATAACTAATCTAATTGGGGGTCGGTGGGGTCCTCAATATTCCACCGTCAGATCTCTCACACTGCAAATTAACTCTAATAAATAAGTGTGTGGTGGTTAGTGACCGTTAATCGATAATTATTCAGAAATCGTGAGATGCGGTCTGGTGTGATGTAGGTTTCAGAAAAACGTTTTCTTTATCGTGCCAACGTTTCGATCTTTATTGAGATCATCTTCAGGGCCGGGATTTACAAACATTGTTTATATTAAACAAATACATGTAGGATGTGGAAAAAAAAGTGAATTTATACAATGCAAAATATATACTTTCAATCAAAGTATTTCTACTAACTCAAAGTGTTTGTCTTCTGTGTAATTGTGCCATTCTTGTGTCGTGTTGAGAGTGCCATTGAGATATTGCTGTTTTGTGTTAATATTTGTTGGATTTTGAAGGGGTGGAGAAGGATGTCGGGGAAAAAGACGTTGGTAATGGTTCGGCTAGATTATCCTTTCAGGATTGTATAGAAGGGGTATAGGAAGAGGAAAGCTAAATTGTTGAAAAATTAGACTATGTGAAAAATGTTTGATGTATGGAATGTGATGAGATGATATATGTATGTTATCTTTATTAAATTTGATTAATGATATTGGCGTACCTGCGACTAAGTTTACATGTATCTGTTCTGTAATTGATGCTGTGTTTATCTCTGTTGATATAAACCATTTCTAAAAAATTACGTTTATGTTTGTTTTTTTCTGTGTGTAATACTTTTGGATTTTCGAAGTCGAAATTGTGTTGGTGTTCAAAATGGTGGGTAGCGAGTGCTGTAGGATTTTGCTTGGGTTTTTTGCAATTATAGATATGTTGCTTTACTCTCTTGTCCAGATATTGGGATGTAAGACCGATGTAAGTTGCCGGGCAGTTCTTCTATTTTCATTTTACTGTCGAGCGTGATCGGCCGACCAGGGCCAGGTCCCCGCCGCGCGCCCGCACCACTCATTCAGCTCCATCATCTTCTCATCTTCTAAATTTTCATGCTTGAAGATAATCAAAAAGAAACGTTTATCGACTTTAGNACCAGACCGCATCTCACGATTTCTAAATAAAGATCGAAACGTTGGCACGATAAAGAAAATGTTTTTCTGAAACCTACATCACACCAGACCGCATCTCACGATTTCTGAATAATTATCTATTAAATAAATTCAGTCTCTGTAAAAACAGAAAGAAATGAATCTACCAAATATTTTACACAATGAAACCGCCAGATATGGGAAGATACTGATACACACACGTTCACGCTTATAAATACAATCACACAACTGGTTTCTACTCTAGTAATAAGTGAAGCTCATTGAGCCACCTTACTCTTCGTGCCTAACAAATAATAAATTTAGTTTCTTACAGCCTTGTTTTGATAAACAGGTCAGCTGACACTGTAACCTTTTCTTTGAGTTTGTTTATCGTCATTTGGCCAATTATTGCGGGTCTCTCGGCACGTACAACAGAAAAGCATTCTAGAGCGAGATCGACAGTGGCTAAAAACCGCTGATATAGAAATAATTTTTGGGTTCACCAAATATTATCCCATATGATAGTTTACAAAATATTGAAACAAATATAAGCTTTGCACAATTTATTTTAAACTGTAAAATTCAACATGTCATAGTTGGTCAGTTCTTTGGAAAGAGATTATTTGTTGAAAGGATTATCTGGAGATGTTTGCCAGTTTTTTTTAAGCATTTCTCTAAGCTGGGACAACCGAAGAGTCGGATTCTGCGCCTTGAGCAACGGCAGATTCGCCTCGACGTAGGTCAAATAAGCAGATTTCATCCTTCTTTCTGGGTGGAGATCGACGTTAGCCTCTTCACTCCTGAAGGCCCGGATCGCATCGGAAATGGTGTGCGCCTCGACGACGTCGATGTTCAGCCTGTTGAGGTTCTCGACGAGCGGAGGCAGCGTTTCCAGTCTACTGTGATTACGGTCTTTCTTCCCCGGCGGGCTTTCGAGTTGGGCGATTATGCTATCCCTGGTCACTTTGCTGTTGACAGCCTTCGTCTTTATGCAGCCTACCTCCTCTTGGAGAAGGGCGTCGTTTTCCGCCTTTTTATTCGCCTGGTCTTGCTTCTTCTGGGCTTTCTTCTTCCTCTCGGCATCCCTCTGCGACTTCTTCAGCACGGTCTTGTCGTCGTCTTTCCAGTAGGCGTCTTCCACCTCCTGCTGCTTTCTTTCCAACTCCTGCTCCTGCATCAAGGCTTTCCTCGCCTTGGCAGCGACTGCCTTCGTGTTTTGAGATGTAAACTTTTTAGGCATGGCTCACTATTTCGCTCTAAATGTCAGAAGAATGAGGTTATGAAATTGTCCAGACAATATGATTCAAATAGTAAATACATTCTTTTCCAACTCGCATTTTATTATTATTATTATTAGTTAGGAAAGACTATAATTTTCCATTACCACCATTGTTTGTATTTTTAGAGAGTATATAAAATTTTTAAACTTTCATAATCTCACTGGCTTGCTTAAAGGTTCCACATAACAAACGTGCAAAACAATTTTTAATAATTTAGTAAGCACTGGATGTTTAGACATATTTTCTACCAACAAAAACTTATTTATTAAATAAATAAAATTTTATCATTCATACAAATAGGATGTTCCAAACACAAACATTTAATTTTTAAGACGGGCATAATTCATTTCAAGTTGTGAATCTATATAATAAAGTTGTATAATAAAACACCTTTTGAAAAAGAAGTGTGTAAAAATAGTAAAAAGTACGTACATGGTCACAGTGCTTTTATGGACAAAGAGTTGCTGGATTGATCGAACCTTTTGCGGTGATACTCATCAAATATGACGGCTACAGTCTTTATGCAACAATTATATCTGTACATCTGTATATAAAAACGTCCTTCGTCTTTACCCATAAAAGGATAAACTGGAACGAAAAATACTAAGTCGACTATGCTCTACAAGCAGTAGAAATCAATCTCATTAGGAAAGTACACCAGTCTTCATGCTGAAATATAGCCATGGAATATCATAAAAGAGATTACACTAAAAAAAATCGTCATGGGATTAGCCAAAAAACCTAAAAATATTAGCATGTAAAAAGTTCATATGCAAAATAATCAGTGAACGCATTTAAAATCTGACAATATCTTGGATACTAGGGCACAAAGGAATTCTGGGTAATAAAAAGCAGACTCTGGCCAAAGGAGGTCTGCAAGGTTATATATAGGACCTATACTTAGAATAACAAGATCAAGCATCTTCTCTTAGAACTCTAATCCACAAAATACCAATGGCAAAGTGGACGACAGTAAACCAATGATTAGTGAACCCTTGGAAGCCTCTTAGAAAGAAGGGCACAATGGAATTAAAAACAAGCAGACCCTGGCCAGAGAAGGATCCATATATAGGAACGTATATAACAAGATCAACCATTTTCTCTGTTATCCACAAAATACAAATGGAGAAGTGGACGACCCATGATGAACCCTCACCCAAAATGGCTAGCACATTGGTGCAGTTAGTTAGATAGTGATAGGGCTATAAATCGGCCAATGGAATCTGAGAAAGTACTACACAAGGGTATATCCAACGATGAACCCCACTTGTAGGTTATACAATGAGGAAAAAATTTCCTTAATATTCTCGAATGCGAAGTAACCAATTGAAACATAACCTAGTGTACTAAGAAGACACGAGAAAAAGAATTACAACAATGACCTAACTACTTTTTAAATTGAAAGATCGAGCCAAGTGAACTGAACTAGGAACCAGGAAAAGTACAATTGTCCAAAAGGTTGCAGTGCTTGAGGAATACCAAATACAACGTCATGTATAATTTCCAAATTTCTAAACCTCTGCCAAGTTTCAAAATCAAAAAATTCGTTTTTCCCCTTATACTTTCACTTTAAAAAAGTATTTCTCGAAAATCATAAACATTATAAGACTGAAACATCGGTCAGTCGTCAGGATTTGCCTTTCTTTCAAATTCTTTATTGGATCTGGCGATGAAAGAGTAATCCAGGTTTTTACATTTCGAAACAATGTTTATTCCCTGCTTAAACCCTTCACAAAGGAGGTAACTAGACGTTCATATAGACACTCCTCTTTCAAAGCTCGCTCAATCCATAAAAACCTAAAGGTCTAGCCCACATCTACATTTTTGCAAACAACTGTCGCATTCAAAATCTAACTGGGCACTGACCAGTGACTAACTCCAAATTCCAAACTGTAACTGGCTCGTGACCAGCTGACTAGCAGCCACTACCCTCTGGCTGCACCATTTCGCATTTCTTGAGCTTTTCTTTTCAAGTGTCCAGACAAGACACGAAATGTTTTGCTTCGACTTTTACATGTCCTCATTCTCATTGTATTCTTACAAGAAATATTAGTATTCTCCCGACATATTTTATAAAGGCTCGCCCTCAGCGGGCCCAAAATGTCATTCCTTCTGAGTCTCCGTATCCATGCCGCATGTAAGGAATATCTGAATAATAGATTTTGGCCCATCTTCAAGCAGCGGGTACTGCACAGAGGTAAAATCGATGAAGCATCTATTTATGAATTGTGTAAAGTAGAGAAAAAAAGAAAAGAATTTTGATGTTCCAGGACAATACTGGGGGAGAGGCGGTGCTCTGGGTTTTACCCTGAATGGGAAAGCGTATTAATGGCACGGTACACATGGGCACCCTTCAAAGTCATTCACCCCATCATCAGTGCAGAAACAATATTTGAAGAAAAGTCAGGAGAAGCGCTAGCCTTCATGGGGGTGCCGTGCCTGGGGTGAGTAGGTTCTCCCCCTTTCTGGTGGTTCGTAGGACGTTCCCAGGTAAAACTATCGAGTAACTGTCACTCCAAGGTCAAATGGTAAATGGGCGTAAAGGCAAACCAAAGATTCCGTACAATAGACGATTTGACATACACTACAATTATGAGATTTAATAGTCCGGTTAAGCAAGTGGTGCATTGTCTATGACTGCGTCGAAAAATGCAGCGCCCTGTTTGTATTAATTGCTCAATGTATTTATACTATTGTCCAGATGGCAATAGCTCAACATTTTATAATCTCTCTTAGTTTCAGATCAATCCAGCTAAATGCAATCTTCATGTACTTCACGTAGAAGTATTATTCAAATGGATCCCAGGCCACGCTGGAATAACTGAAAATGAGAAGGTATGGCGAGAGAGGCAGCCTTGAATGGTATTCCTTACGGAGGGGTCCCCTTCAGTGACCTCTGCTGTCACTTTAGGCGGCTCATCTGGGGGGCATGGAAGTGTGAATGGGGTGCCTGCACAGGAAACAAGCTCCTCGCAATAAAGAAAGATGTAAAGAAATGGGAATCCTCTTCTAGACCCTCCCGAAAAGAAGAAACCCTCCTAACCCGGCTTCGAATTGGCCACTCCCGACTCACCCATAGATTCATCCTTGAAAGAACTCCTAAACCTATATTTCCACTCTGTAAAACTACCATCACAATATCCCACATCCTTTATACACCTCTGAAAGAACCCTCCATCAGATTCCCAAAGACCTCCAGTCCATACTAAGCAACAACTCAACATCAATAAACAAAATTTTTAACTTCTTAACAACATCCAACTAATTGATAAAATCTAATATCCCATCCCCTCAACTCTTGTTTCCTTTGCTGGTTCCCCATGTTGGCGGCGTGGTGCGGCTGACTTCTGGCGACGCCCGTGCGGGGCCTCGGGTGCTGGTCGGTCTAGGGCTGGATTGAGGGGTGCCTCCCCGGACTCTGAGGTCAAGGAATCTCCAACGAGCTTGGAGGAGGTGTCGATGGTGACTAGACACCGACCCCTCCTCGATAAAGTCCTGCGCGCAATATTAAGACTAAAAGCATCAGTTGCGATAGATCCGAGGGGTTCCGTCTTTCCAGGCCTGGGGCTGCCACTGCGCCGTGGTCTGCGGGGGCCTCGCTCTGAGGGGGCCGGGCTGCGCCGTTGACTTGCAAAGACTCAAGGCTTAATGATCAATAAGGTTGCAGCCTTTAAATTATTTTTAAAAAAATCTGCACGTTTAAAATCATATGGTAGAAATTATAGTAGTTTAAATTACTTTATTTTAGTAATGAATTAAAACCTGTAAAAAGTCTAAGAATGAAGATGTATTTAGTACTTTTTTTATTGGGTAATTTAGTTAGTTTGAATATCAGTCTTAGATTTATCCAAATAACCGAAGATATCGGGATGCGCGTTAGGCTTGAAGATTACCCGTTCTTACTCGGCTTGCAGCGTATCGACGGAGCTCTGGTCTGTGCGGCTGTTCTAATATCTAGCCGGTATTCGATGACAGCTGGTAAATGCGTAGCGAAGCCAGGCGACTTGTTTCTTCCTGCTCCGAGCGGATTTCGTTTGATCGGCGGGATCAGCAGAACCGACAGGCACGGTGTGAGCGAAAATTTCGAAGTCCGCGTCCCCGAAATGTTTTACGTCCATCCCAACTTTTCACAGGGGCTTTTCACCTACGGGATCTACCACAACGACATTATCGTCATCGAAGTTAAAAAGCCTTTTCAAACATCCCTCTTGAAGCCCGTATCACGGTATTTACCCGCTGGCAATCCGAATAGTATGATGTTCGCCGTCGAATTACAAAAAGCTATGAGATACCTGTGCATGGTCGTCGGTTGGCAAAAGGACTCGGTGTTCTCAAAATACGAGTCGATGAAGCTCGTCGGCCACGTGGTAACACTTATTAAAAACACCGACTGTCTCGACTCATTCTGCAAATCTGGAAGCGAATTGTGCAACGAGAATCTGAAGAGTGAAGAAAGCCTGATATGCGGATTGGCTGGTAGCAAAGCGGCTTCGTGCAACATCGACTCAGCTGGGGTGTTGATCTGCGAAGGGTCCTTCACAGGTTTTCTCTCCTGGAAGCCTAAATGCGGCTTCTCACGCACCAAAGTGCCAAATATCTTCAACGCTTTTTGGCCTTCTGTGGACTTCTTTAAAAACTTCACGACCAACATGGCGACCGTTCCGACACCAAGTTCATTCCTTCCATCAGCTGTCGCCTTATTTGCGCTCCGATCATTTTCAAAATTAAAAATCTTGTAAAACATTTTAACGTTTAAAAATTAAAAACGACAAAAGAAAAATCCCAGTTACTCGAAATGTTCCATTTTAAACTGCTGACCATCAACATATTATGGTACACAACACAATCGCCCATTGTTGATAGATGTTTAAACAAAAAATATCTGAATTGACTTTTTTATAGCACATTCGTAAGATCCTATTTGCGAAATAAGACTCATAAAATTAACGATTTTGCAAGAATCAGACCGAAAGGTAGAATAAATAATCCAAACGGTCCCACACGTGTGAAACTTTTTGCCACAGGTGATTATCCAATCTTGCGGCCGATTAGAGAGGATTAGCAATTATTACTAATAATAAGGTTACGCAGTTGTTTATCTCGATCCACAATGAGATCGATGAAACTCCTTTCTATTACGGTCTATAAATCCTATTTCTAATACTATGATAAATGAAAGGAAGAGGCCGAATTGTCTATACTACACTGGCTAGCAAAAAAATTGCCACCCTCGTTTTGCAATGGTTATATATTTTATTCTTTATTGTTCACTGGATATTTGTATAGAAAAATATATAGCTAAATAAAAAACAGAATAAAACAATTTTGCCAAAAATGTTTCTGTGGAAACAAGGAAGAAAATATTAAATTCAGTACGTAGTATTTCCTCTTTTTTTCATTCATCATCGCTTGCATTCGACGTGGTATCGATTTTATGATGTTTTGAATGGAGTTTTGTTTATTTATTATATATTTTCATATTCCTCGAACAGGGCCAGTCTTTCTTGCAAATTCTCGGGCATAACTTGGCGACTTTTTTACACTCTTTGATAATTGGTCCCAAAGGTATTCCACAGGGTTTAAGTCGGGACTGCTTGCAGCCACTCCGAACGTGGAAATGAAGCCAGATGCAAGTAGTCACCAACGACCCTAGATGTCATTCATAAAAATAAAACCGTCGCCAATTGATGGCATATAAGGAACAACTTATTCTGATAACACATTTTTAATCTATCTTTCAGTTATTAGGGAACCCACGATGAAGATCAAGGTTGGGCGACCTTCATTCATTCCGATGACCTTCGGCATTCCATGAGCATTTGCCTGCCCAAACCATAACACCACCACCTCCATAGCCTGAGGAGTGAAAATGTTGCGGGGATGTATCGCTCTCCTTGTCTTTTCCAAAACTTCTCTCGGCCGTCAGAAGACCTCAAACAAAACCTTGACTCATCCGAAAACTAGATTTTAGTTCAATCTTGCTCAGACTAGTTCTTGCGAAACTTAATCGAGCTGTTCCGTGCCTTGAGAAAAGTTCTGGACACGGTGGCAGGCTTTCTCGCACGTAATCCACCTTCTGATGGTCTTCGCCTTACTTTGGGTAAACTATTTCTAACTTTTTGAAGTCGTTGCTTGATCGCAACAGATCGAATTACGAAGTGTATTCGAAACAATCATCTTTCCGAACGATGGCGACGTGATCCATGCCGTCTTGAATAACCTCCAGTACATTGGTAGCGATGGACCTTCGGACCTAGGAATATTAAGCCCCCTAGCCACATACGCTCGACTTCTTCCATCTTCCAACAATGCAATGTTTCTAGCCGAATTTGTACAGCTCAAAACCATCACTCAAACAAATTTGAAAATGATTCACCTTAAAAAAATCAAACCACCAGGACAAGTGGTTGAGGCGACGATGGCGGCAACGGTTTAGGCGTTGACACAGCGCTCATCATTATAAGGTGAAGGTCCCAGGTTCGAATACAGGGCCGCTGGATTTCACTAACATACTTCCAAATGGGCTTTTTTCAAAAACACCGACACCCAAAGGTTCATATAACCTTATAGTTGAAATACCCTTGTTAAAAAAAAATGTTTTATTTAGCCCTAACCTATTAAAGGTGGATACTATTTTCACCTCTTAGTGTATATTTTATCGTCCTATATTACTAGTTTATAATTTATTAATATTGTAAAATCACATGTAATAAAGTTATACAAAACCAATGTGTTTAACACATATTATTTTTCATGTTTAAAACGACCCATCGTGGTTTCGCATTGTGAACCGCATATCCTCATGTCTCAATCACAAAATGTACTGTGTCCTTTCTTGACTTGTCATAAGCGTTTGATCGAGTGTAGCATGAATGAAACCTTTACAAACTAAAGCGCATCCACACACCCTCCGCCTAATCCTTCGGTCCTACCTAACCGGAGGCTACGAAGGATCGTCCTACTCCGACTATTGTCCTCTGGGACCGGTATTACCTCAGGGCGGCGTACTTGCGCTATCCCAACTTCACCATCCACTATTCTTGCACCCTTTGCGGACGACTCAGCTGTTATATCATCTGATCCCGATCCGACGATTGCTTCGGAGGAGCTCCAGGCACATGTTCTGCAAATACCCGAGTGGAGCAAACATTGACGTATGAAGCTTAATGAAAGCAAAAGCACCCTTCGAAGCAAAACCCGTCCTACAATATTCCTCAATAATACTCCCATCCCAACTGGGTCCTACCTTGGGTTCCATCAAGATGCTAAACTCAATGCTCAATGCTAAACTGGAAACAATAGGAAAGGAAACAATGACTAAAACGACAGTCATTAAACAAACGGTACAGACTACTGTCACACATATCACCCTACGAGATCCCTTTTGCCGCTTCTGCGAAATAAAAGAAGAAACGGCAAAGCACTACCTCGCAGAGGGTGATAGGTATGCTAGGTCTAGATTTGAAATCTTTGAAGGAGAGGACATCACCAAATCACTCCCCGAGATAAAATGGTCCAAAATTTTGGGGTTTGTGAACAAGTCCAAGAGGTTTATGCAGGACACGTGAGCCGACGAAGACCCGGATCTTTTAGGGATGTTGTACGAGTCTACCCAGGCATTTAACCCCTCAGGTCTTGGTCGCCCACCCTGCATAATATATATATATAAAACTAAACGGGACAGTGGCCTAACTGTGGGGCACCGCAAAACCTTCCAACATTCAAATAATATAGACTTACCAATCCGAATTCATCAGAACCATTGACAGATCAATGACCTCACAATCCCTTTCGTACAAAACATATTTCTCCAAAACGTTGTCCACTTTCTACAATAAACTCTCCTTTCATCCCAATCCAATAGAAATAAAAAAGGTCAATCCTTATCCAATAGAAACTACCCTTATAATCCCACTAGACGACTGAAGACGAGTTGGGCTCGCGACCTAAGAGGATTAGTCCTTGCGTCTAATTGGGTTACAACAATGGTTCTTCAGTTAAATGATATAAAATGTATGATATCTGCCAATATCTATTTTTATATTACAATACATGTGTGTGATGTTTATAGAGACATCAGGTCATCAAAATTCACACAATACCAGAATAATAATGATGAAATTGTACTGTTGAGAAATCTGTCGAACAGAAGTATATCTGGACAATCTATTTCAAACCGCTGCACTATTCTTTCTGCTTTTTTGGACCCCGCGCTTTCACGATGCCATCATAAACATCACGTTCTTCCTAGAGCAGTATTGTAAATACTCCCTTTCGAATAATTTCACGTGTGAAGGAGGTTGGTTTAAACCTAAAACGTGTCTTTATCGGGCAGACAAGCTCGTAAATATAATATAACTTTCAACAGCTCAACAACTCAGAGCAGTAGGCCTAATTTTGAAAGTCGCCTCGACATGAAAGGAAGGCCCAGGGCCAATATGCATAATAGAGAGAAAGAAGGCCCAAGGATATGGAGGCGTATCATAGAAAAAAAGACCATCGACCCGACGATTTCGCCGATTAAGTCGCAACCACTTATTTTTTAAAGAAAACTGGAAAGTTTGATACAGAGAATAAGGTTTATTTCAAAGTATTTTCTATTTCTTAATAGCTTCCCATAGCAATATCAATTACATGATGTCCTAGTTAGACCTAACAACAAAGTTCATAAGAAAGAGACAAAGTATAAACTAAAAGGTGTCTTTCCAAATTCCTCGTACATAATCTTACGCCCCTACAGAACGGAACAATTCTTGTTTTCAGTATTATGTGTCGGGGCTTAAAAGAAATTTGAGATCCCCTGTAGAAACATAAATATGTCAATCTATATTTAAGGTAGTTTTGCCCTTATGATGACCTTAAAATACGTCACAAGAGTAGTAACTGAATTTGCTTTCTTTTTTCAAGCCATTCCTTGATTCAGGGTTCAGAATGATTGTTACGAGTACAACGAATATTGCCCCATGGGAGCAGGAGTGGCTCAGAGCAGTATGCTCGGACCAAACCTGTTCCTCATCTACATCCTCTACCCTCCGATACACGGCTATTCTCTCCGTATTTTCCGCCACTCTCCTGCTACTTGAACGACGAGATCCGAAACATGAGGGTTAGCGTTAGAGACGACGTACGTTAGGGTAGATGAGTTAACCTTTCAACAACTATCATAACCTTAACCCTAACATTATCAAGCATAGTGCCAATACTTTTCATATCTATTCACAAATCCTGGCTTGCCTAAACAAACTTATATTTGGACCGATCCTGTATCCCATCTACACCAACCCTCCACCTACTTCTCCGACATAGTTGTGCTATCCTCCCCCATATTTTCCGCCACCCTCTTGCCTCTTGAGTAACGAGATCCGCGAGTTTAGGACTAGTGTTAGAGCCGATTTAGGTTAGGTTAAGGTTAGGGTTGGGTTGTGTAAAGTTAGGGTTGGGTTAGTTAACCCTAACCCTTCCAAATGCCAAACCCCGCCATTATGCATTTCAAGATTTCTTCACTCTTCAGATTTTAGTTTACATCTTATTTTCACATTCTGGGCTGCCTAACAAACTTTTTATTTCATACATTCCTCCACAGCATTTTTTTTACCCTAGATATAAAAAGAAACATAATACTTATATATAATATGCATGAAATACATGCACAGAAAAGGGAGAGAAAAATATTATTTAAAAAAAAAATTTTAATTTCTTCAAATATTTCTTCAGCTTCAAAGGCCCATTGTTAAGAATTTTCGGACAAGTGTAATTTTTTCGACCTAGTATACCAAAATTTTATTAAAATTTCCTGGTGGGTTAGAAGAGTTTGGAAGAGTACTTCATATATCAACACTGATCGCAAAACCTCTTTTTGAACGGAAAATGGAAAATCAATTAGACACGGCAAATTTTTATGGTAATAATAATAAAATGCACAATGAAAACAATGACTTTCAGAAATGGGAATATACAATGCAGTATCTTAAGGTTCACCAAAAAAAATGCTTTTAGTGGCAACCCTTTTCCATAGACTCCTTCTGAATGGTCATGAAAAAAGATATCACAAATTAAAGACGATGAAAAGTGTTGTACATATGCTGGAAGTAAAATGTCTGGAGGTTGCTATATTAAAAACCTTGAGATTGGCAAGTAATTAGTAGAACTGACAAATTAACTGAAAATTAGCAATAAGTATCGGTAAATCATGACTTAAAAATGTAATTAAATAAATGATCCTCACTGAATCCCTACGTTAAATTAATTAAGATACATCGTACAACACCGGCTCAATTGACTCAAAGGTCAGCTTAGGAGANGGCAGTTAGAAAGGGTAAAACTCAAAGAAGTGATAGGACTAAAAGAGTTGTAAATATGCTGGGAGTAAAATGTCTGGAGGTTGCTATATTAAAAACCTTGAGATTGGCAAGTAATTAGTAGAACTGACAAATTAACTGAAAATTAGCAATAAGTATCGGTAAATCATGACTTAAAAATATAATTAAATAAATGATCCTCACTGAATCCCTACGTTAAATTAATTAAGATACATCGTACAACACCGGCTCAATTGACTCAAAGGTCAGCTTAGGAGATGAGTCAGCTGAGAAGAAATTTAAATTTCCGCGGAGGTAGAAACAGATAAGCCCGAAACTTGTGTTCGGACGAGCA